AGCGGCCCGGGCCGACGGCGCTTCCCGCAGGCGCTCATCGTGGGCGTGAAGAAGGGCGGCACGCGCGCGCTGCTCGAGTTCCTGAGGCTGCACCCCGACGTGCGCGCCCTCGGCTCGGAGCCCCACTTCTTCGACAGGTGCTACGGGCGCGGCCTCGCCTGGTACCGGTGAGCGCCCCGCCTCTTGCACTGCCCGCGAGCCTGCCTGGCCTCGTGCGCCCCGAGGCCTCGCTGCAGCCTCTGCAGGCCCGGGCTCCTGGCACCGGAGCCCAGACCAGCCTGGGTGGGGGGCTGCGGGCTTTACGGGAAGGAGGGGCGTCCGGGGCCAGGAGTCCCCTAAACTTGGAAAGCTCTGGTTCGGGCTCTCCGAGGGGTCTCAGCAAGACTGGGGCGCACGCGGGGCGATCCCGGCCGGAGAAGGCCTTTTGAGCCAGTGGCGGGTAGGGAGCGGTGGAAACCCCTCCGCCGGCCCACTCTGGGAGGGCACTGGGACCCGTTTTACGCAGCGCAGGGGCCTCGGTCAAACCCCCTGGCCCAGGCAGAGAAGCCTCCGCGGTGGGACTGGGGACCTAGAGGACGTCTGCCCCTGGCTTCTGCGTTAGGCGTGGGATGAGGCCTCATGCCGGGGGAGGGGGCTCTAAGCCACCTGCCTTCTGCCAGGATGGCCTTGAGGTGCGTTGGGATGTGGCCTCGTGCAACCAGCCCAGGCTGTGAGCCCCCAGCCTGTCCCCGCTGACAGGGGGAGCAGCGGGAGGCCCTGCCCTCTGCCGCCTCAGGGCCCTGTCCACTCCCTCAGGGATGAGGGTTTGCAGGCGGAGCATGTGAACCACCCACCCCTGCGGCTCCTGCTCATCCCAGCGGGGGACCCTGCCCTGGCTCACCTGGTCAGTCAGGAGCGGGTGCGCGTTTCCCCCGTTCCCAAGCCCTCTTCCCTCCCTGTCACATCCACCTTTGTATGTTATAGCCTTTTGCCCTTAGAAGTGCCCTCGGTTGGGCCAGAAGGCAGGGGCCGCAGGAGAGAGCAGGGCTCCTGGTTCCTGAAGGGTTGCCACGGCTGGGGAAGGGGCACAGGAGCGAGGAGCGCACCTGACTGAATCTGGGCATCCTCCAGCTCAGGCCCCGGCGAGCGACCGATCGTGGGCCCAGCCCTCAGGCAGGCAGGCATCTGGGAAACATCCGGATCCCTGGCTGTGGCCAGAGGGAAAGGCGGGCAGGGCTGAGCACACACCATTGACCGCACCCTTGGAACCGCCTGGCGCCCTGAGAGTCACTGCCGGAGCCGAACAAGGCTGGGGGGTGCACAGGGAGGCCCGCGCGGGGCGCAGCGGTTCTCAGAGCGTTCTTTAAGAGCTGGGGATCCTGAGGCTCTGGCCAGGACCCCCAGTCACCGATCATCTCTGGGGGAG